TTTAACTAGCAGTATTAAACACTATAATAGTTAAAATAACACAGATTGGGAGAAAGGAGGGAAAAAAGAAGGAAGTTTTAGTTAAGGCATCAAGCCAACAACTAGAATCACATGTGAAATACTCACCTGTAGCAAGGAGAAACTCGAGGGGATGGAAGTCAATTGAACGGATAGGTCCTTCATGGAACTTAAAATCATGCAAGAGCTTCCCAGCAGTAAGATCCCACACCTACTCAGAATGACAAGATAAATTGATTAAAGGAGGAAAATCAGCTTACTATAACTCACAGTGATATTGCAGTCTAATAATTACCTTTACCACATTATCGAATCCCCCAGAAACTACCCAACGACCATCAGGAGTGAACCTAATAGTGCCAATTCCTCGAGTATGACCCTTGTATGTGTGAATGCATCCCTTCTTCCTGATGTCCCAAATCTTTAGATTTGTATCCATGGAACCAGATGCAAAGAACTCACCAAATGGATGAAATTCAACAGCAGTGCAATTAGATCTGTGTCCGGTAAGACCACGAACCACTACACTTCAAGAAGAATGGCAAGTAGAGTAAACAAGTTGGCAGACCGTAAATAACATCTGCCCATTCCAATACTTTAAATGAACACATATCCAGAACTGTGAGTTTGTTCCTCTTGATTATCACATCAGGAGAAACACATTAACCAAGATCTTAATAGTTTTTACAACTAAATAGAGCAGTTTTAACTCCCGGTGCAATAAATTCTGCTTTATATGGAAAGGCTCAAGAGCCTCCAGCTCAGTTTATACATGCTCGTAGATTTTTTATACGGGGTTTTAATCCGATCGACCATCATTTATTCATTTAGATGCCGTATATAGGCAAATCAAACAAAACAATCTGCCTTATTTGAAGTACCACAGAAATAGAATAAGTTGTTTAAACTAAGATTCACTAATAACTTGAGAGGAGAAATCAACCAACTTACTCTTTGCTTCTTCCAAATCCCACAGCTTTATCACACCGGTAGAGGCTCCACCAAGCACCAAAACTTCTCCAGTATCAAAAGCCACAGACTCAACTGGACTTGTATGGCCACACAGGCTCTGTTTATAACACCCAAATATGTTTTTATTCTTTCATCCAAACAGGCACAACCAAAAGCATTAAATAAAACAAAATATATTTGGACAAAATGCATTAAACCAATAACTAAGACTCTCAATTCTATTCAATAGTCAGCACCCGATCCTGAAAAGTGAATTCAGCCATGAACTGCTATTTTTTGACCTTATATAACACACAACACAAAATATATGATCCTAATTTAATTAGCTGATCTAGCTGAAATTACATTAATTAGATTATTAGATGCAGTTAGCATTCTATCTTCAGTAAAAAAAAAAAATTTAATAACCCAAAGGAAAGTTACTAAAACTCAAAGAAAAGCAGATAATAGAAAGATATAAACTAACCATTAAAGAAGTAGGCTTGCCAATCGCCCAAAGATTTACTTTATAATCATCCCCACCGGTAATAAGAAGCCGACATCCCTTCTTTCCAATACTAAGACAATTCACATTTGTAGTATGAGCCACAAATTCCTCTACATTCATTTCGGTCAAGAAAACACAAATCCCAGTGGAGAACCCAGAAAGAATAATATAAACATCAACAGAAACCAATACTTGTTTGGTTACTGATAAAATGTATAATGACAAACTAACTGAGCTCATTTGTAAACTGTAACGATACAGGTTACTCAACAATCGACATTGAGAAGCTTTAACTTTCATTTTTTTTCCCCTTCTATTCTCTGATCAACTAAACAGAGTTATAAATAAATAAATAAATAAATAAATAAATAATAAATAATAAAAAATAAAGAAGCTCACTTCGCGCTAAAATTCAACCCTCTATCTTCCAACAAGCTGATACACGAACAGAAATCAATAACAAACCCTAAAATCTACTCACCTAGCTACGAGCTGTTCAGATAAAGCTAAATTCAAGCTGATAATCGCAATAAATCACCACAAAAAAATATATATATATAAAAAGATACGCAGCTTATATCCACGCTTCGCCATTTTCCACTGCGAACAGCACGATCAAAAATAAACTCGAAAAACCCAAAACAGAGTTCGGGTTTTAATTCTAATTTCACTTGTATTGAATTCACTCCACGCCAGCTACAGATTCCTCCCCTTCTCTTTTTCTCGGAAGATTCAAAGAAGGTGAGAAAAGGAGAGGAAAAAGAGAGAAAGCGTTGTCCTTTTGCTCGGAATGCAAATCCGCGGCGAAAGATAAGAATTGGGTTGAGACGAAGAAAAGAAAAAAGAACGAAAAACGAAAGAATTTCAGATTCAAACAGTGAAAGCAGCAAACAAACAGAGCATTAAGAAGAAAGCATAAGGAAGAAATTTTATTTATTTTTATAATAAAAAACCAAAAATTAATAGTAAATAAGTAAAAAAAAAATACGAAGGAACCGTAAACAGTGTAATTTCCCAGACCATGATTGATTAAACTGCGTCGTTTTGACGAAAATACCCTCGTATTCGACAGTTGCTCTTTGCGAAATTACCAAAATACCCATACTTTGTCGGCTACTTAGTCTTGGTCCAAAATCTCCGATGAATTTTCTCTTTTTTTTTTTTTTTTTTTTTTTTTTTTTTTTTTTTTTTTTTTTTTCCCCCCCCTCCAATAAAGTCTAATGGTACAAGTCTTCTCTTTTTATTAAAAAATATTTTTTTTATTAAATAAAGCACGTCATGGGAAAAATAAATAAATTAATTTTAATAATTAAATAAATAGATTTTTTTAAAGCCAGGAAAAATTTAAATAATATTTTGGTTTTTTTTTTTTAAAGTTTTATTTATTGGATACGGAAAATGATGGATTAGGAATTTGAAAGGAGTTTATGATTAAGTCTAAAGAATCTCACTTTCTTAAATCACATTTAATCTCAATTACATCATTAATATCAAAATTTTAGTAATGTTTCTAATCATTAATCAATGAAATGTTACCGATTAACTTTTTTAAAAAAAAAAGGAATAAAGAAATCAAAATCGAAAAAAAAACTAGTTCGCAATTATTTAAATATAAATTATATCAAAATAATTAAATAAAAAATATTTTTAAAATTCTTTAAAAATTAACTTGGTTCTCATATTATTTTATATATATATATATATATATTATATACTTTACATTAAATTATTGAGTTAAACTTGAGAAGTACTCATAATTGCTTTCTTAAAATTTTTTGAAAACCCAAATCTCTAAATACTTCACTACCAAATCTTAAATGGTGGTTAGATGAAAGTAAATGTTATCAAACTTGGTAGTTAAAATTAATCTTCAAGACCCATAAGAAGAAAGAGAACTTTTTCAATAATTACATTCATTGAATTCTCATACATTTAGGTTCCTAAATAGATGAATGTATTAACATCTCATAATTTATATGATCCTTAATACAAATATATAAATATACATATAATTTTTAAAAAATAATTATTATAATTTCTCGTAAAATTTTATATGTTACATATAATTTATGTGTCTAGTAATCAAAGTAAAAAAAAATTTAAGTTGGGATAGTTGTTAAAAGTTGAAATTTCTCTCCAATATATTTTTTTTATGTATTATATGTAATTTTTGTTTTTACATATAGCAGGAAAAAAAATTTATAATATGAATTAATGATGATATTGTTGATAAGAAGAATAGATTTTTATTATAACAGTCAGATTGGAATTCGTAACTTTTAAATATAAAATAAAAATTATAATCACTAAATTAATATGTTATTTATAAAAAAAAAAAATTAAATTTCGAGAATAAAAAGATAATTATTTAACATTTAATGATATTAGAAGCACATTACAAAATATCATAATACAAATTACCAAAATTTTCAGAAATTAAAACGTGGGTATAATAATATAATGTACTTCCAACTTTCTTTTTTATTTTTTCTTAAAGGTGAAATTTTCAATTTTATTTTCTCAAAGGTGTACAAATTTTTGGCATGCAATAAGTGGTGCACATGTCATGATTTATGATGTTCAAAAAGAATTAATTTACGAACCTAATTCGTAGAGCAGCTTTGTAATTATTATGTACTTTTGCAAACATGTGGTACACTAATTTTCTGGGTGGTCACATGTGATCCCAGCCATCCAAACCCATGATAATCAATAATATTAGAACTTCCAAAATAATACATATATGTATACATATATATAAACACACACACAGACACAGACACTAATGACTCAAAATAATACTAACATGTTATATTCTATAATTGAATTAAATTTATTTAAGAATGAAAACAACATAAAGTGTCTTAGAATAGTTTTAATACTTCTATATACATTAGTAGAACACATGGGAGAACAACGACCATGAATGAAATAATAACTACCAAGAGTTTAGGAACAAGGATTATGGAAGGGGTGGATATCGGGGAACTCGGGATGGAAACAGAAGGAGAAGAGAAGGTTATGGATCCCATACTTCAAAGCTGAAAAACCTCGAGGTTTCGAGGCGATGACAATCAAATGGACCGAGGATTGAGGAATGGAAGAAGAAGAAAAAGAGGGGGTAGTTTGTGCTCGAGCAATAATTTGCATGCAAAAGGCTTGTTCAAGGATGTGCAACTCAATGAATTTTGTTGGACTGGTTAGCTATTGAGTTTGAGAAAAACAGGTTTTGTTAGTGATATTGAGTAGGTAGCCACGTAAATTGTGGGAAACATTTTTTCATTTTGTCATTTTCCATCAGCATAGAGAAACATCGT